ATTAAATTAAATATATTCAATATATACATACATAAGTGGAGACATCATGCGTGTTTAATATTGTTTGTATAGATTCTTTAAATTTACAATTGAAAATTTCAAAAATTGTGTTCTGATATGGATGGGGGAAGTTTAATTTAGAGTAACACGCAAGAAAACTCAGCTCTAACGGAGACTGATATTTGCTGGTATGTTTACAATTACAATGAATGTACTTTAGCTTTAGGGCTTAAAACTCACATGCTTTGTAAATGTGCTTCGCCGCTATTAAATAAAATCCAAGCATTAAGCCGTTCATTTCTTTTAAGGTATTACAAATGTAATATTTCAATTTAATTATATTAAATTTTTACTACCTCAAAATAAATATTGAGGTAAAGTTGCTTAGTAGAACTGTGATGAAATAAAAATGAATAAATGCTCTTATCCTTCACGTCTTAGGACAACATCGAGTTAGGCATGCCCGCTGTACTGTTTATTTGTACAAATTTGAATGTTTTTTTATGCGCTTTCAGAAACAACCACACACAAAGGCAACAACAGAAAGTTGCTCTAACGAGCGGTAAAGCACTGTAGCAAAAATTGTCGGTCTGAAGTTTTTTTTAAAAAAGATTTTTGGTGTCTGACAGCTTTGGCAAATCAAAACTTACTTCACTTAAAGAAACGTTTTTTGCTTAGCTTCCTATAGAGTGGTTGGTGTTTGCTAAAGCCGCTCACTCGTCCTTCTTTAGAATGCCTGTGTCTTAATTGCTACTCATACGAGTATGTAGGAAAATTAAAAAATTTTTCATAATTCATACGAAATTGATACTTTTGCTTAGGAAAACATGCTCCTAATTGCAGACACATTCAAGTACACGCAAGTACCCATCCGTTTCCATGGAAATTGTAATTAAATATTCGCAACAACAACCACTATATGCTGAAAAAGGTATTCATACATTAAACATACTGCTTTAAACGTTGAATACCTTAATATATGTTTATTGCCTACCGATAAAACGTTTTTTTTCTAAGACGTATGACAATTTATTTACAGAAATTTTATAACCGGATTATCGCAAGTAAAGTCTCGTATATTAATGTGTGCCTCTGCATTAATGGACGTGTATATAGACGCAGACATATAGTTCATATGTGAGCATCCAACCATCAAATACTTATGATGCCCATCAAAATAGGTGTGTGTGTATGTACGTAGCCAGACATGGTACTGTTATAGCCTTGTAAAGGTTATAATAACTTTGTCGTAAGACATAACGTAGGCACGATTTATTTTAAATAGGTCTCAGATCCTGCCCCCAAGTTCTAAAAATGCCTATTTCAAGTGACAGTAGTATATAAGCAGTGCATTTCTTTGCAATAGTTCGATACACGTACACCATTCCCATTTTTACAACATAACTATTGTAGTAGTCAGAGGTAAGTGGAATTTATATTTAACAATTTATATATTCTTTCTCATTCCTTTTAAAATGTCTAACATAACAACATGTTCCCAAAATAATTTGTTCCAAAACAAAAAATATGACAAATATGATTGAATAATTTCTATATATCTTTATCTTTTTATCATTGATTAAGATTATTTTGTTCACATTCTTAGAGGTATATTCAAGTTCACAAATACCTACATAAGTACTTCTAAATATAACTAATAATGAGTCTCTTAATATAATTTGTATATTGTAACGAAATAAATAAATAATGGTTTGCTTATTCAATTAAAATTCGTTAAAGCAACATTTATTTTAAATCATTTCTATGTATATTTTCGATATACAGTGATAACAGACTGCTCTGACTGTGCCCATCTAATTCTAATTAAATTACTGAATAGCGGGGATTTTCTTTGGTAGAGTATTAGATTATAGACAAGCTCCAGCACGAATGTTTGTATATAGTAGGTAAGTATATATGTTTTTCTAGTTTTGCCATTGCAGCCCATGACCCTCATGGCTATATTGATTTGTGCTCGCGCTAGTTTTCATTTCAAATTTTTTACTTTTCCCCTCAACCGTTCACTTAAATGCAATGTTTTGCAGTCTACTTAAGCGCTGAGCTGAAGGCTGTGATAGAATATTACATACATACTCGAATATGCGCACATACATATATATGTATATGGAAAGTACCATCAACAGGCTCTCAAATGCTTATGACATTTTGAGATGTTAGGCGCCTAGAGCGACGTCAGCGACGCGGACAACGACGAAGGCATTGAACACTGTTGATGAGCTACTGAAATTTACTTGTGGGCCGGCTCACCAAAGCGGATCAAGTGTTCAATTTGTTTGGGACTTTAAGCAACAATTTGAAAATGTGGCCTGGTTCAAGTAAATTTAAACACCGATTTTTTATTGCTATTGTTGCCGTCTGCTGTCATAGCAAATGTAGGCGGAAAGGCTTAAGTGCACTCATCACTGCACTGCGCATACATATGTACTATATGAGTATGTATGGGTGTACACTCTTCAGGCGACAAGTCCCGAGAGGTTTCAGCATTTTTCTTTGAGGCCATAGTGCTGCGATGTAAAAAAACTTATTCACATGATGTCCTGCAATTCGTGTCTTGGTACCCACAATTGCCTAGCCACTTTATGAAATCCTACCTATGTACATAGCCACATAAACACACACACGCACAAGCCCACATATATTCTTTTGCATATTTACTTGATAAATGCAACAAAGCTTGGCAATGCATTCAACTGTGGGAAGATTCAAATACGAACAAGGCACTAAACCATTAGAAATGTTCTTTGCCCTCGTTTTTGATGGCAATTTTCAGCGTAACTTGGTAAAGGCACCTTTGATGCACACAAAGTTGTAAAGCAATTTCATTTATTTTGTTTATCCCACAATCTGTTCGAATAACACGTATAAGTATATATGAATTGCAAGCATTCTATTATAGTACAGTCAAACTTCAAAGACCTTTAATTCTAGATTACAATTGGTTATAACTTGAACAACATCGAGTGATTCTAGTTTACTTGTTTAAAAACATGTCTTTGAGCATTTTATTGTTATTCTTTCATATATATACAACTAGTATTTTATATAGAAAGTATTGAAGCGAAGTATTAAAATTAAAAATTATTATCTTAGCTTTTCTCCAAAGAATACGAAGACAACATAAATTTCAAAGGTCCAATTTTAGACAGCTTTACAAATTTGGTGTTACAGTCAGACATGCAAACATTTGGCTATTACTCAATTATCAACCCAATATATGTATTTGATCACAATCGAACAATGCCATCATAATAATCTAGCTCTCTAAATAACACTTCTTCTTTCGTAAGCGTATTAAATTTAGGCAAATCTCTTAGAACGAATAATGTTAGTGTCCTAGATGTCATCCTGTTGGTTCGGTAAGACACATTTTTATTTTAAACTTAAAGCACAGCAAAAGTAATGATAACGATAATAAGAGACTTAAAACTAAGTTAAACAAAATTAAAAATTCATCTCACTAAATGATGGTTTTAATCAAATAATATTACAGTTTTTATTTTATTCTTATATACTATATATTGGCAACCTCTGAGGACTTGTAGCAAAGTTGGACTGTACTTTGTATAACTTCAAGTCTCAGGAAATAACACGCCATCGACCACACACAGACATTGCATAACTTCATTAACACGCCATCGGATCAACTTAGCTAAGTGTGACTGTATTTTGTTTAACTTAAAATCCAAGGAAATGCCGAGAATAGACGCAATTTGAATTTCCTGTTGCCACACAGACATAACTTCACTAACACGCAATTCTTGCATTTTCCGAAAAGTCGGCGCGGAAGGCATTACCTTCCTTCCACATTTCTATCAGGGGAATTGACTTTAATGTGTTCGTACCGGCTTTGAAGAACTTATGCAATGACCGATCAATAGCATTAAAAGATGGTCTCCTTTTTATTTTTACATTTTATGTCAGAAAACTTGTCATAGGACCAAACGTTATTGACAGTTGGTCTCAACAGTTTTTTATTTCGAAACTTCTTACATTAACAGTCTTTGACAGTTGGCCATTATGTATCTTTTGTACACATTTTCAAATACAAGCTTGTTAGGGGTTTTATTTAGGCATATGAAAATGTTTAGTAGTCACAAAAAGGTTGAATCAATAATGTTCGTTTTCAGAAAATTGACAGCATTTCAAAGGTTTGTCTAGACATCTTGATTACTTAAAGGCAGTCTAGAAGTATTGGAACTAGCTTTTATGATGACATGCAACTCATGTTACGATTATGCTTTAGTATTAGTAGAACTACAAAATGTATTTTTTGTTTGTGTCTAAAATAAAAACTCCTATAACTAATACGTGTTGACATTCAAATGAATAACAAGTTTATGAATGACATTTTCCTTAGTGCCTGTGTTTTTAGTTTAGGTTATCAAATAATCGAACCGTAAAACTAATTTAAATGGAAAAAAATCACACTGATTTGATCGGAAAATCTAATTCATACAAGTATTAATGAAATTCCTGTTTCTTCACCGAACCGCAGAACAATTACATGATAATAAGGTAATAAATGTAAAACACGTCTATGCTTTGTGTGTGTATAGTATATATGCAGTAGACAGTTGAGCCAAAGCAGTAATAGCAACAACAAGTGCTGGTAAAGCATGGGCAGAGATTTCATTTGATCTCTCAAAAATCATACTTGGCATAAGGACACATAATCACTAGCTGCCAAATTTGGCAAATGGTTGCAGGAGTTAAAAGAGGTATGGACATGGTGCATGCGAAAAAATACAAACTTAGCCTGCCAGATAATTATGAATGCTAAGGTTGGTTGTATACTTTCAGAGATCCTTGCATTCATACTGACGGACAGAATTAGGTACAACGTATAAAAATAAAATAATAAAATGCACGCAAATCGGTGAGCTTTTGGTATATAAATATAAAAATTTAATATATCTAGGAAAATGCACTTTATTGTTGTTATTGTATTAAAAACATGAAGAACATTTTACTTATCGTACCTCAAATTTAAACCTTTAAGCATCCACTTTGGAATTAGCTGGAGTAGAGCTATGTAGTTTGTAATTGTTGAAGTGAGCTTAAATGTTGGTATTTGTTTTTCTAAGTTATTGGGTTGTTTTCCAAAAATAGATTGAATAGCTCTTTTGGCACAGTATCTTATTTGTTCGTTTTTTACACACACCCAGCACAAATCTTCAACACTTGATAACAATTTGGCTACTTTTGTTGCGCAAAAGTTTTCGAAACTTAAATCATTATCGAAGGTGGCGCCATTGCGGCGTACAACTTTTCCAAAATGTGACTCTTCGTCGATTTATTTTTCTTTATTTCACGTGAACCAACGATTTGTTATTTGCTTGCTTAAAAGAAGTACCGGAATTTTCTTCATTAATTTTTATTTTATTTTTGTAAATTGTTTTTATGTCCCTGACTTACGGGTCGTATACGTTATTTCAATTATGCACACAAGCATGTCACGAACAGGATAAACAGAAAGGTGTGTTTGGCACTGCTTAAACGAAAATATGAAAAGGATGCGAATGCTTTTGTCCGCTGTCTGTGGTGCTGACTGACTATTAAGTGGCTGACTGATACGAGGCTGGCGTAAGACTGAGCTTCAGGACATAGCAGCTGGCGTATTTATCAATGAAAATTGTTGCTTGCCTGGCTGTCTGCCTGCTTGGTCGAATGCCAGCCAGATGGTTGATAGCTGCAAAGCTGTGCGGCCAAAGAGAAAATAGAGGAGGCTGCCTGCTCTTAAATACACATACGCCGCTCTTAAATGGCTGCCAGAGGCTCGTCGATGCTGCATCCCTCTGCTCGCCCGTGCATATTCGTAGCTTCCACCTTTGTTATTTATATTTAAATTTCGTTTCGTATTGCATTGGAAATTGTTTTTCCACACTCGTAGCATACTTTGTGGTGCTCTTGAACTTGAGTCTTCGCATGGAATAGCTGCTTGGATTGCTTACAAGCGTATGATTAAATAAATGCAAGAATACAGATGGGAGCGGGTGCCAGCTGTTGAATGTTTACACGTTCCCCAACTTCATTCTGACGCATAATTCGTTCAGTTAACTCATTAAGCGATTACTAGCTCGCCCTTTATCCATTTCTCCATTTTTACATCTGTCAAGTGGCAGCAACAGCAGCAGCTACTGAAACGTGCATGGCATACCAATTTCAAATTTCTGCCGGTCACTGGTATGAGTCAGTGTGTGCCCGTAACCAGCCACACATCAGCGGCTGGGATTCACCTGGGGCCCAGCAATTTGCGAGTTATTTTTTATTCTTTACCCAACCAGTATGCAGAATATTATTATACTCGTATATTTTTACGTCCGCCTCTGTCTATGTTTCTGTGTATTTGTCTGTCTGGCCCTGTTCAACGTTGTCTAGAAACATTATAATAATTTACTTCTTCTTCAGTCAGAGTTTTTAGCTTATTTTGAGTATTAAACATATTGTAACAAAAAATAGGGTATACCACAGTCGAAAAGTAGAACTACAATGTAGGTTTATTCACAACTTAACTTATCACTGTTTAATTTGATTTCATTTGAATTTACGCATTTAACAGTTCATAGCGTCCCGACTTATTTCTAGAAACTGACTGATTATCTTGCTAAGTACAAAGCTGAAGCTAAACTACTTATTATTCACAATGCATTGGCAGTTATATGGCGACTATATCTAAATTGACCAAAGCGTTACCGCCGCTGCACTTTAATTAAAGTTGAATAAAAGCCGTGCCGCAAGCTTGGAAAATGACGACTGGACAAATGATTATTGATGACTATTGTTCCCAGTGATGTTGTTGTTGTTATCGCTGTTGTTGTTGCTCGCACCATTTAAAACTTTTGAGCTGAACTTGCGCATAGTAAACAGAGTGCGAGTCAGTCTGTCAGATAGTCGATAAGTAAGCGGGAGCAGCTGTTGTTGAACTCACAATCCGTCTAACGCTGTGTGAAACTAGTAGTAAACATGAACAAAAAACAATTAGATTTACTTTTATATGCAGTTTATATGCCAACTTTTTCATGCCGCAACTTTTAGCATTTCAGCGTATTTATTTTTGTTTCATTTTCTCCGTTTTTCGTCTATGTCAAGTGGTTTTTTTGTAGCTTTGTGATGAAAAAACTTAAATAAAAAGCCGCCATACGACTATTTATACGTATATATTTACATATACATATGTATATATGCATGTATACCAACGAAGACGCACGCAAAGCTAAATGGGGTTGGCCAAAATTAAAAGTCTTGCTTTCAACCACACAACATCATAAGAATAAAAAATCTAACTGAAATTATACGACATGTACGTCCTCTCTAAAGTTTATTTTCTTCTCGTTTAAAGCAAAAAGCACTTACCCGCACAAAGTAATTAGTGACTTGTATAAAATACAAAGCGACCACAGATACACTCTTAGCCTTCTCTTTATAAGACGAATTATATACATATGTATGGGTGTGCGTGGGTATCTTACTTGTCCCCATGCGTCATAAATAGAGAAGCGGTAAACGTTTTCGAAAGAGTCATAACATTTGCGGTTGTGACGTGATCGGCGTCTCAAACATTGATGTAGGCCAGGCTTGAACGCTTTAACAGCAAAGCCATTAAAATAGCTCGAAATTTGAAGATGTGACGAACGTGTGCAAATTTTCCATTGCCAGAACAAAACAGAAACAGATTACGTACCAATGCAATGACCCTTGTTAGTTGGTAGTTTTTAATTTCTTAATTTCTCAGAAGAACTGAGACCAACTAGATATCATATTCCTTAACTCCTTAATAGACGCACAACTGAATATGCAGTTCAAAATCCTTTTCGGATTTTATGCTGAATTATAATGAACATTTCTACTCGCCCTCAGCCGAATTCTCTCTTCCCTCTCTATAAGCCTGTCTTGTTCGCTATTTTCGAACCCTACACAATTTGTTTTCCTCTATAATGAATAGATTAATAGCTATTAATTAATTTAAAAATTTCATTTCTCTGATTCGACTTTTAACCCAAAATTGTATTTTTAAATGTTTGGTTGTAGGTCTATTAACGTCTCGCGTCGGAGGAGTTCATAAGATATTATTGTAATTTACTTAAAATTAGCATTTTGCTTGTTAAGCTAACATATTAAGCCAAAGTGTGGGGAAATAAAATACTACATATTAGGCCTAATGAAAGCAGAAATTTGATAATTATTGATCAATTTATGAATAAATTTAAAAGTGCTCTCATTTTGTAATAAGTTTTTTACCACACCTAAGACACTTCTTCTTTGTTCTTTAAATAAGATTCGGAAGTGCGAGGGCAAACTCTTTTATGCCTCCGTGACCTTTTTATGAATTTCTGCATATCCACGAACCTGCTTCATTGCGAGCATTTGTCTAGGACCTTAGACATTGTTTGCTTATTTTTAATACAAACATGCCCAAATGGAACTTTACATTGATTTCCTTAATCAAAATCATAATGTTCTGAGCGCCATCGACATGTGTGTAGACACAGATATTAATATTTAATGCCAAAATCAACTGTCGTGGGAAACGCGTGTACGAACAGTCATTGTAATAATGCAAAGAGGAGGCAGTTGAAATCGTAAAAAGGCAGGGAAGGAAGCGGAATAGAGTTTACAACTATTATGCGCTATTTATTAACAGCGACAGCAGCAATTTTAAAGATAAGTGGAACGCAATCAGTGTGCAAGTATCGAGCAGATACTTTGATGGTAGACTGAGATAAGCACGGCAGATACCAAGTATGTGGAGCCGAAATGAGCTGTAATCATAATAAAATGTATCTTATCTGATTTCGAATAAATTTGAATGCTAATGACGCAATTCCAGAATGCGAAAGGAAATGTACATTTAAATACGCATGTAAAGTGTGAATTGACTAGACAAAGCGGCATATTCTAGCGAGACATACATTTTCGCATTGAAAGGTAAATATAGCATTTAATTGAATACAATTTCAGTAAACGTTTTAGCGCCAAGTGTATTAACGCCTCAAAATACTTCGTATTATATCAATTTTAACAACTAAAGTTTATGGCCCTCAACACTTTAACACCCAACCAAGGATTATAATCAATACGGTTCGATAAAATAAATAAATAAATTTGAATGCTTCTTAGTTTTTTAGGCACTTTAACCTTTTGACAAACGTAGTAGTAGATTACAAAAGCTAATTGATTTTAAGCAATTGTGACGTCAATAGACACTCGAAACTAAATTTTGTCAAAACTAAATTTGCAGTCTATCTTGGTTTTTAGAAAATATCTTTCACAATAGAAGGTAGCTTTTAATAATAATAGGTCTTTGAATACAAGCAGCATAATTTAAAAATTTCCATCAACCAACAAAATCGGCATGACCAGACATTTCTTTCATGGCAACGGCTGTTGTGGCTACGAACACTGCCAGTGGAAATATACAGCTCCGCGCAGACTAATTTATGTACGTTACTCATCAGCCTAATGAACAACAAAGAGTTTTGAATATAGAAGCTATCTTGAAGAAGAAATATAAAAAAAATAAATTTGAATAAAATTAACTGAGGTCCATTCTTCATGTGCGAACCTTCTTACAACAAAACATCATTTAATTAGTTGTAAGATTAAAAATTAATTAATTAGATGTACTTTTATTATAATACAATATTTTAAGAAATACTCAGTATATAATTTTAATTCATATAATTTTTTATCAAGTTAGTTACTAGCTAATTCTTTTACGTGTATACATATACTCGTATATGCTTTTATACAACTATGAAGAGTCAAATATCTACACTGGGATACTATTACTAGAAAAACCAAGCGCAGAGGTAATTTAGATAATCTTTTAATTCAAAAGAATCGGACAATCTGGGCAGCGTATCTGAAAAATTCATCTTCAGTGGGAGCAGCTAACCCAAGTTTTTGAAATGTTTAAAAACTTCTTATGATTGCTTTTCATATTTATATGCCCGTAAGTATTATTATTCTAATTATCTTGTTTAATGGTTGAACCTTGTAGTTGCTATTGCCTGGAGTAAGGCCTTAGAATTTTACGAGATAAATTGTATTTTGATATGCAATTAAACGGGGTCGGTGGAAGGGGCAGTTGCGAAAATTGCAGCTAATCAACGTGACAATCAAGTAGACTTTATTTATGCATAGTATATCAGTTGGGCAGGAATGACGTGACCTTCAAGCTGTGCTCCAGAGGTTGTGTGCAAGTGTTTGGAACAAATTGTCTGTCTGTCTGCTCATCTGACATCTGGTTAACTAATTTGTTTGTGTCGAGTTAGGGCGCTTGCCTATTTGTCTTTCACTTGTCTTTCACAGGCCCTCGCCACTACTTCTGCTCCGGTCAGCGGCTGGCAGCTGGACAAGTGACAGTGCCCCCAGCTACCGTGTCAAGTAGTCAAGTAGTCAGCTAGTCAGCTAGTGAGCTACTCATGTCGTCATTGTTCGTTGGCAAGCGAGCATACGAGTTCGATTTCGAACCCGAGTCTTGCCAATCAGCGCGAGCTCATTTCCAACACGCACGCAATTAGTCATTCAAAAATATCACCCATACGAATAGTCACAGGCACTTACACACACTCGCACACACTCACACACACTTATTGTCGTATACTTAAGCATTTGAAATTTTCGTCTGCGTTGTATTCGATTTCCTACTTGTACATGCGAACTCACGAGGCGAGTTTGAAAATGTTGCCTCATTTCGATTTGCGCTGCCGCGAAACGCGGACGTTATTTTGGTCGCAAATGCCGCTTTAAAGTTCAATTGTCAAGTGTGCCTCGAAACAGTACAGTGACAATCAACAGTGCCACCATTGGCACATTCATATAAGTTGGGGTGGCGTTTAAAGCTTAACCACAGTATTGTGGCTGCGTTTGTCGTGCACGGACTACCGGAGAAAAATACTTGCGAGTACGAGTGTGCAGTGCTGACATAGCAGGCACCAAACAACAAATATACCTCTTGGATATATATAGTTATAGCTACAATTTTTTCGTCAAAAGTATTGACTTTCATTTAAATTTGAGACATGAAGTGCAGCCCAGCGAATTGTGTTGCGTTGACGCTTCTCCTAACCTGTGGTGAGCCAATAAATAAATAGTATTTAACATTAAGCCCGAACACTCAGACAATGATTTCTGAAGTAGTGATAATGTTACAGTGAAAAATTATTTGTTTAAATATTAACCGACAACGGTAGGAAAAACAAGCTGTTCATTTTATCTCGACAAATTTCTGCAGTATCTCCGACGCTGTTCTTTGAGTGAAATGTTCGATTCCAACTAAAGCGTATACTACAATCGCATTTAAGACCTACCCATTGGGCAGCCATGAAAGCAATACCTTTCAGAAATGTTCACATTCACTCAATACGTAAATATTATAAATATTTGCACAATTTTTCGAGTTGTCATATCTCCCCCTCAGCTCCATTGAACTGCAAAAGTTCAGCCGATGAAATGTGTCAATAATCTCAATGCATAAAATCCTTAGGAATTTATGCTACATGCCTAATGTCTGCGGCAGCTTAGGATACACATGTTCACACTTCTCTTCATCGTACAGGAAAGCACGCGAAACACAAATCTGATGCCAAAAGTTAAATTTGGATAAAGGGCATGAAGAAATTTGTCGAATATCGCACACACATAACAGACAGTCATATAAACTCGTATACATATGTACATAAATACTCGTACATACAAGTATGTACACTTACAAAATGCTCACAGTCAGCTTTCCCTTCGACGTAGACATGGCCATTACGAGCATGAATAGCTCTTCAGTTATTGGCTTAGCTACAAATTCAAGTGTTTAAAAAAACACCACTTTTTCTTTGATCACAAAAGAAATTGTTTCAGCCACAACTATGAAACGGATCTTAACTGTCCGCTTATATGAATACTCGTATAAGATTAGAAAGTGCGTGAAAAATACAGATATGTATTTATGTTCGAGACCCAGACATATTTTACACCCAAACATAATTATGGAGTTTTGAATAATACAAAAAAGAATCGTATTTTTATGTTTAAAACTAAATAACCTACGTACATATGTAGTAGAGTATTAATGACCTTTCTCTTTGAAGTATTTCAAAGAATGGAAAAAAATATATTTCCTGGTATTACTAAGAAGGCTGAATTATAATTTGCAACGGTGATAGATATGATTCAACTCACAAATGAATCATAAAATGATAACTATTTTAGACTTTCAAATATTATAACTAACCATCATGCTCTTATTAATTCTTATGAACTGAGCCTTTCTCATTTTCGTAATAGTTTATCTAGTTTCCAAGTAAAAGGTATTTCGATCATTTCTACAGCGGATCATGTAATAAAGGAACAATATTCAAGGAAGAGCTTGTCCTTTAATGAAAGAATAACTTATATATAGAGCTTTAAATAGGCAAAAAAGCAATCAATCATCATTAACTATTTAAACAATGTACTAATGTGAAATCTATCTCTCTCACTCTCGTAAGAGCAATGATAAGTTTAAGTTGAAGAAAAAAAGGCCCTTTGTTTTTGGTTAAGAGAAGCACACACTGTACAATAGTTATACGCTTGTAGTTAACGACAGGTAAGTTGATTGCTGTGGACTTACCCTCGTCTACCTGTCCATTTTTGGTGCGTAAGACGTACGTCTGACGCAACTGTCGGTTTCAGAAGCCGAACATGTTCATTCACCTGCTCAAAGCAAAATAATCAAAGTAATAAAAATAACAACATCCATTTGTAATTGGAGCCTCATATACTGGGAAATATCTTACGCAGCTCAACAACTTCAATTACACATACTGTTTCCGTAGATCTTAAGGCATGAAGGGACTACAAGTATATTGGCGTTGCGCAACAAAAAACATGAATGACAAGCGAAATTTGCAGATCAGCAAAACAATCCCCAATTTTGTACACAGATATGACTATACACAATTTTTTGCTTTACAAGAGAAATTGTACAACTCATAATTAGGTTAAATGTGTATTTTAATCCATTTATTTATAATTTGTTGTACATTATAAGCAAAATATGCTAATTAGAACAAATTTGATTACACGCTTCGCGCACAGTGTTAACTCAAAAGCGCGCATTTGTGGACAATAAATTAATAAGATAATTATAGTGAACAAATAAATTTGACACTTGTTGAGATAAGTGGGGCTTCGTTAGGCTTTTTGCACATCTAAATATTTTGTTACAATTCTATGGATCGTTTACCAGAGATTGTGCAACATTTGTCGATTCAGCTAAAGGTAATTAATTATAATGGCTACTGGCCAGGACTGGGCTGTGCTGCGCTGATCTAACAGAGAATTAACAAATACAATGGATGCCATTGTGTAAGCACAAAAGCAGCAAAATGCTTCATTTAGGCTCAGGTATTCATGAGATGTTTGGTTGCAATTGAAAGATAACACTTTTTACATTCTGGAAAAATATTGTAACATCAGCAGCGGCCATAATTACACATAAACTGAACTTTACAGCGGTAATTGTTATTTAATCAACGCTAATTGAAAGAGTAATTAGGTTTGGCACATGCTAGACGGTTGCCAGAGTGGGGAATCGACAGAGATATTATGTACATAGTCGAACATCCAAACAGATTGTCTGCTAGACCAGACAGCAGCAGTTATGGCGAAAATTAAATTAATTAACACCAGCAGGAATTGAATTTAAATATTTATTAAACGTATATTTTTAGCTTTCGCTGCGTCCAAAAATAGATGGGGTAAATAACTAAATGATAAACCGCTCAAACTAAGCTCCAAGCCTACACGCAGTATCGGAGTGGTTAGGTATGGCTGCAACAGACACAGAGTGTCGCCGTTGCGTGGACAAAGGCAATTAGCACATTTCGTAGTTATTATACTTGTATGTAGTATTCGCATTTCGAATCATTTGACACCACCGATTATTTATCATGATGTCTGTCTCGCGAATGACTCAATTATTTTGCACACTTTTAATCTTTATCTTCGTTTCCAATGTTTGCAGGCGCCGTCACAGCACAAGATTTCGGCTATGAGGGACAGCATGGTCCCGAACATTGGGGAGAGGATTACAAGCGTTGCAGCGGCAAACATCAGAGTCCCATTAACATCGATGTGGTCAATGTGGTGGAGAAGCAGTTTCCAACCCTAGAATTCATTAACTTTGATGAGAAACCCAAGGGCATTCGCTTGACAAATAACGGACACACCGTCCTGGTGAAAATGGACTTCGAGCCGGGCAAGACGCCCCGAGTACGTGGGGGACCTCTGGATGCACGTTCTGCCAACACTGACTATCAGTTCGAGCAGTTCCATTTCCATTGGGGTGCAAACAATACCGTCGGCAGTGAGGATCTGATCAACAATCAGTCTTACCCTGCCGAATTGCATGTGGTAATGAGAAGCTTGCAATACAAGGATTTTGCCAGCGCCTTAGGTCAGGATCATGGTGTAGCTGTGATGGCGTTTTTCTTCAGGGTATGTACTTTACTTACTTCATTTAGTTCACATATAAAACTGAAAAAGAAAGCACTTGACTGGTTAAAAGATAGGGCCTTTTTAGAAGTAGAAAGTAGAAAGAGACATAGGGAAAGAGGAAGGGGAAGAGAGAAAGATGGAACGAGAAAGACGAAAAGAGAAAGAGGGAAATCTTCAACCCGGTGGGGGAAAGTTTTAAGCCAGTCCGGCCAGATATGACCCGACTCACAACAGTATGTGGAGAGATTTTTTTTAGGAATATTTTGTTTGATTAAAAATAGCAAAAGCACCAAATAAACTAATAATATTTTGTGCCAACAAGGAATATTTATTTAACTTGAACAAAATATATATTTTCCCCATTTTCCATTAGATTTATTTCCATCATTGGATTTTGTGTGATTTTCATTTAATTACTTATAATTTGTATGTAGGTAAAAGGCAACGACAATCCCAACTATAACGAGTTCACACACTTGCTCTCAAGCATAGCGACTAAAGATAAGTCCGCGAATTTTGTGGCGCCTCTACCATTGGAAAAATTTCTAACTTCCGATCTGGTTAACTATTATACCTATGTGGGCTCGTTGACAACGCCGCCATGTAGCGAGGAGGTGGTTTGGATTGACTTTAGCAATCCCATCGACATCTCGGAGGATCAGGTAAAACCTATTCCCCTATATTATTAGACTTGCTTGACTTTTTTCCTTGCAGATCGAACGTTTTCGTCATTTAACCGCCAATGATCAGCATTTGATGAACAACTTCCGTCCCATACAGCCGCTGAACGATCGTACTGTATATCAGAACCTGTTGCCCATGACTCCATATGGTGAAATGCCCATGAGTTCGATTCCGTTTGTGGATGCGGCAAATGGGGTGGTTGAGGTGACAACATCCAGTAAGTTACTGCTGTTGTGCCTGTTGTTGCTCAAGGCCGGCATTTTAGTGGCTTTTAATTAGAGCTCCAACCCAGTACACCCAACCACTCAACGCCGCTGACGCCTGGTGCTGGCGCTAAAGTGGGCGTAAGCAGAGGCAGAGGCAGTGGCCGATGTCGATGTCGATGTTTTCTGTTAAATGCATTGCATGTGCTTAAAATTTTAATTAAGCGTTGTAATTTACATGTGTGTGCTCTGCTTACTGGTTTTGTTTGCTTGTTTACTTGAATGCTTCTATGGTTGTATGTCGTTAGTCGGCCACTTGCCCGCCAGCAGCGACAGCGACAGCGGCAGGTTGAAGGGGCTGGTATACCTACATACATATATATATATATATACTATAGTACATATGGCCTCCTACTAATTAAACACGTGTCTTTCAAAATTAATAAACGCCAGGCGCGGCATTTTTGCATGTGGACTCTGCGACGATAGCACCGCCATAGAAGTGAGAGGCATGTTCGACATCATCATCACAATCATCGTTATAATTTATGCACCGCATGGCCCACCACATTTCTGTGCACCTACGCTACTACTTGTATTCTACACCCAAACGTATTAGAACTGCAGTTTACGCATCAGCTTAGTTTTAAGCAACTTTTTTATGCTCGCCATTTAAGTTCTTTCCGCATTGAATTTAATACCTACTTATGTATTTGCTAGTTACACATACTAGTTAGTTAGATAAGTAACTGCACCTTGTGATTAAAATGCTCGCTAAATGCAACGCTCTATGTACTTTAAATTTTAGTTGTAGAACACAGGAAACCCATGAATAAATATTTTAAGCACTTCGTCAAACTTGCATTTGTTATCTGAACGTTTAGTGTGCAATGGTTAAATCCTACAGTCACTCAGCGGACAACTTGGCGTAAGTTGAATTAAATTCGAAAGCTCATTTGATTGATTGCTGAAAAGGCATCGTGTTCTAAGTACACTATTTATGAAGCTAGAATACATTTTATTGACAAGCATTAAAATCTTTAAGCTATGTTTTCATACCAAAATAAAGCTATGCTATATACTATACATAAGTGAAAATTGTTTATTTTACAAAAGCATGATAAAATTTAAATTTGGGTGCAGTAAGTATATTTAATAAGATACTATCAACTGTCAACAATGGGCAATTGCAAATCGGCTATCTGTTATATCTAACCTTTTCTGAAATTAGCCTTAATTTTGCAATCCATGGCTTGCAAGATGCACATCACTGCATACGCAAAGAAATCAAATTTAACATATTAACGTTAAGAAATGGAAACCTAATCGTGGAAATTGCAACTTTCCAATTCAGTTGACTCTATAAAGCTAGCCATCAATAACAGCTACTGCTCAACAAATAGATACATAAGTCATTGTGGACATTCTAATATTTTCTTGTGGGCCATATTTTTAAGGAGAAATTACGATTGAGCCTGCCTTTGATGACTCAAGATATTAAAGCACACCATATAAAATGATATGCCTAATGTCTTAACTAAAAACGCATGGATAATAAAGCGTAAAGTTTAAAAACAAGCAAAAAGAGCGTTCGCAGAGGGGGCCCCCCTGCCCCCTCCCTTAAAAATTTTTCCATACAAAGTCGACCACACGTTCATTATTATAACATACTATTTCGCCTTAGAATGGAACTGAGTTGGATTTGTTGAAGTTTTTTCATTTATCATATGCATAAATTATTTTTTAAATGCATCGTGCATTATTTAATCAAAATTTTAATTTTTTGGCCCCTCTCTTTGCTAAAAGCTGCCTACGCCCTTGCTCAAAGGGTATACAAGCTTAGTGCAAATGTACATATGTAACACACAGAAGGAGACCTGCAGACACCACAAAGTATCTATGTATATTCAACGGAAGTATCTAAGAAAGTATAAGAGCTAGAAATACCAAACTTGGTATCCAAATTCTTCATAGTTCGAAAAGTTGTGCTGCATACATACACGTAAAGACACGATTGAAACTGTACAAGAACATGTATCCATGTCCATGTCTCTCTCCGCGTTGATTATGTGTCCGTATGCCGAGTTTCATTATCAGGAAGTTATAGCCATAATATAATTGCTGCCCAAACGCTGTCCGCAGCTGTTGTTAATGTTGGTGCTTTGGTTTGTGCTAAATGGCATAAAGTCAACTTACAATATATTAAAGTTTTAATTATTCACTCTAATAAAGTAAATTCATTTCTTCCTAAGCCTATTTTGAGAAGTCATCGATATGCGTGCAGAAAAAAGAAACCGACTATAATATGTACTATGTGCACAGTTTCAACTTACACGTTGCGTGATCGACAGTTTATTTTACATCCATTCGCATAAATGAAGAATTTCCATATTTCCCTGCTCCATTTGATCTCTGGTACAATTTTATATTTGAATTTTGGCCATCACTTTCTAAATAATTTCAGACTATTTAATAAAAGTATTTCGATCAAATCGCTTTAACTGGTTTTACTTATTCAGAATTCTTTAAATATCAAGCAAGCTCATATTAATACTTATTTTCTTTGTGCGAGTCTTTGGGTTATCTGTTTAAACCCATATTTTATAATTTCAGCAATGTCCCCAAAGACCAAGATTGAAAAACCAGATGTGATTTTTTAAAATCTTTGTTTTTTATTTTATGCATATTATTTGCAGTTTTCCTTTCTTAAATTTCTGTTTGTTCTGCTCTCATACAATTTTGAAAATGAGTGCCAAGTTTGCATCCCCAGCTTTCAATGTGCCATTTTCTCAAGCATAAGAAAATGAAAATCTCTGATTTTGTGTGTAACCGAGAGTCTTGTCTGCATGCGTGTGTGTGTGGCTGTGTTGTAGTAAAGGTGCACAATTCAATGTAACTCTACTTGAATTTTGTTTGCACTTTAAGAAGTTGAACGAACTTTTTCTTTTACTTGGATTTGCTTGCTAAATTATATATAACTAACTTTAGTTTTGTTTACTTAGTTTTTACAGTTTTAATAATTTATTATTTACTTCATGGTTGCTTTTCTTTTGTTTCCATATCATCAAATTGTATGTTTTTTTCTTTTCTATAGTTTTTTATATATAGCTAGATGTGCTTGTTTTTGTATAAATATATATATATATATATATATATATATATATATATATATATATATATATATATATATATATATATATATATCTATATATATATATATATATATATATATATATATATATATATATATATATATATATATATATATAAATATAAATATATATATATATTTATATGTATATATATATATATGCTTTCACTTTACAAACTTACATGTTAACTACGCGAAATGTGTGTTTTTGTTGTCTGTGTGCTTGGTTTTTTGCTTTTAAATACACATAAGTATGCAAAATTATTATTAAATTAAACTTTATATTTAGGCATATGTATCTATATAGCTACAGTATAATGTATATTTCATATGAATAATCAAAATATTAAATTAAAGATTGTGTTTAAAAATGTTTCTTGTTTTTAGTACGATTCACGCTGCCTTGCATACACATGTGCATATTCATAATGCATAACTTTTGCAAAATGTTTAGGCTGCCCTTACACTAAATATAAATTTTGTTTTGTGTTTACATTATGTTTAGTATGTTTATGCATATTTGTGTTGTATGCAATATTGTGTAAAATTGCTACATCAACTAAATTAAGCACTCAAAAAATTGCAGCTGTTACAAATGCACGCGAAGAAGCTTTCTATATAAATCGCATTTGCTTTAATTAGATTCAATATTATTTTGCTTTGTTGCTTGAAAACCGTATAAGTAATTTACATTTACTTTTTGTTGTTTATTTTTGCACTTTTTACAAACATTTTCGTATAATTTAATAATACTCCAGTCATAGCAAAATAATAAATACATAAATGAGTAAGCATAGCTGCCTAACAAAAGAAGGTGCTGTTCTACGAAAGCGGTAGCAGCTTGAGGTTGTTATATTTTATAGTCCAATTAAGCAACAAGCATGTCATAAAAATTAATTCAGTTGAGTTTGGAAGTACTATACATTTAAATTAAATAATTATGGATACTTTTGCTCTGTTTAGAGCACAGAGCACAAGTTCAAACAGCTATGGTAGCTCTTATTATAGCTGATTACAAAACGTATTGTACAATAAATATAAATATTTGATATACTGGCCCTAAAGACTTGCGCAAGCGCTGTTCAAGTATCTTTGTTTGTTCCATTTCATAACCTGTAGGGGGTGGTTGTGTGGCCTTATTGGCTTTTTCTTTTCCTATTTGGGTTTAGGAAAGTAGGTAGAAACTCCAAACATAAGGAAGCGTTTAGAACTGATTAGCTTTTACGTTTTTCTCTATACTTAAATAAACTCTGCCTACAGCAAGTTTTGTGTTTTGGTTTTGCTCTATTCCATTTCTTCTTGTTCTAATTGCAAAAGATCTAAATACATACATAATTTGATTCGTAGAGCTTAGCTTACAGTTTATAGTTAATCAAGTTCATAGTGCTATAAATTATAAACATTTTGCACATTTACATTTTCATTGTTGAAAACCTCTCATAAAATTAGTGTGCTAAGTTTTCTTTGTTCCATTGCCTTAATATGTTGTGTAAGCTTAAACGATATTTAACACGCCTTTTTTTTAAGAATTTAACACTATACACTAAAAAGACTTAAAATATTGCGACCATCATGTTTGTTGTTGTAGTTTTTGTCTTCTTGGTTTCTTTTTGATTTTGTATGCCTTGGTCAATTTAGTAAGTGCGGTTGTTTGTATGGTTGTCAAGGTTGTATTTTTGTGTTCTTGTGTGGCCGTGTGTATCTGTGTGTTTCAGTTTCGCAATTGAAAGCATAAGCTGTTTTACGGTTTGATCCCGGGCGATGACATTGCCATCCCATCGAAGTCACTTAACGTAGTTGATTTCTGTTGATGGATAAATCATATAATATATTAACATATTAAATAAACGACCAAGGCCAAGGCACTTAGCAAGCCACTTAGTATCATGATGTGGTGATGCATAGAAAATGTTAAAATTAAAATAAATTATGTACTAACTTTTTACATAAAAACTGGACAAAACGTTGCACAACTTAACACGTTGATGGGCTAGCTGTTGTTTTTGGCCATATGGGGGTTGTCATCGGTTTATAGTAACTGCTATTGTTGTGGTTCTTGTTCTTTTTGTTCGAGTTCTGATCAAAATCAAAATGTAAACATTTGAACACAAAAATCACACAAAGCATTTCCTCACGGCTGATGCCAGAGTATTCTCTTTGTTCAGTTGCTTCAAATTCTCTGTTTTCTATTTTCTTGTTTTAATTTCTCTATTAATATGCACTTTAGTCCATTTATCTGGGCCGTTGTCTGTAGTAAAATAGATGAGAGAAAAAAATAGCAGCCATGATGATATGATCAAAATAAAAAGCCAAAAAGACAAATCAAAGTAATCAAAACATAATTTCATGCCAATGACATAAGCTCATGAGTTATCTCATCGTCTGGTCCGTCAGTTCGGTTTGGTCTACTCACCTGAAATATTGATCGTGTAGTGATTGACGCTGAAACTCGGCGGCCTGTAAATACTGTATATATGTAATTAATGAGTTAAGCAATTGTAAAGGATTTGGGAAACCTGTAATTGATCCGCATACGACATGCGCAGCAGGACGTCCGAGTGCGGCTCCCTAGGTATAAGCATATTTGGACGTGGATATTGTCCAACATTCGCTATAAGCAGAGTTATATAGAAAAGAGAGAGAGAGAGAGAGAGAGTGGAAGGGCATTGTTATAGCAGGCTGATATTTGGACTCTCATATGATATACAAACTCACGTGGCAGTTGGAAACCGGCCTCCGGTGGTTGCGGCTGTGGATGCAAAGGCAAATGTAAATGAGTATGAGAGTGTGCATGATATTCTCTCGTCAATCGTATCTGAAAATTATTGAATATCGTAGATAGTTTCAAAAGAGCAAGTGCTGCGTATTTATTGACGGCGATTGACCAACACATATAATGAATCTGTGGTTCTTGATATGGTGAACGGTTAGCCGTTTAGTTTTGTTAAATCGTAATTGATGGGGGCGGGGGGAATGCGTGTTAGAGATGCAAACGAGCACTATAAGAGACAGCTTTTGATGTTAAATGCCGAAGGACATATGGGCATGGCATGGCAATTAGTTAGAGCTTGAATTAACAAAAACAAGCGCAAATGAATGAGATTATTTTTTAGCGCTTGCGAGACGAATGTTAGACGAACTGACAAGGTGCAATGCATTTTGTTTTTGGGCTGGATTTGCTTCCAAATACGATTGATTTGTGAATATGAGTTGAGTTTGAGAATTGTCGCCGTGATTTCTATACACACCATATGCTCGCCAGGATCCAGGCCCACATGATGCGGTGGCGGAATACCCAAACGTTCCCGTTCCATTTGTGATATCGCTGGATTGGCATAAAGCGGAAACTGTGAGGGATGCATGCCTCTGCAAGAAATAAGTTACAAATTTGATTATATCTGATTTGTACTGGCTCTATATGCACACATGGCGAGTAGCTCGATATTAATTATCTCCTTACCGCCTGTAGTACTCCATCCAGTGTGGATCCAGTCGTGATTGACTTGCAGCTGCCGCTTGTGCGTTTTTGATCTCCTCCAATTCTCTGCAAATAGTTCGAAACTCATCAGCAAAGATACCATAGAATCCATTGGGAATGTTTCTTTGATGGATTTAAGGGCAGTTGGCAGGCAAGCAAATAAAAGTTGAGAAATGATATAATGGAACTAAGCGGTTTTTAGGCGTGCATTAATAATAAAATCAAAATGCGTTAAAAGCTGGCGGTTAGTAGGATTCTAGGTGTGTGGTTGTGTGTTTTGGGCGGACGCATTGAGATGAGGATTTGGTAGGCTTGGTACTGTACCTCTCTCTGCTATACATGGGGCCCATTGGATGATGATAAGGTACCATCTGTTCAACAGGACTGAAATTGAATTGAAATAATTACAATCAAGACGACTCAACGACACAAATAGATTACAGCAACAACTGAAAACTTTTATAAAGACAACACTCTAAAAACGCAAACTAATGCTGGATAACGACTGGATTTTGGACAACATACCTGAAGGCGACGTGCGGACGTGCGTATTCCGACAGCTGCCGTAACGCAGGCGTATCCGCATACGGAGGTTTCAACTCGGCCTTGAGCTTGGCCTGTTGTGCGGCTTGTTGGGCTGCCGCAGCCTGCTGTTGTTGTTGCTGTTGCTGCTGTTGTTGTTGCTAAATCGGATACAATTGGAATGTTTAATCGTTTTATAAAGGAGTTTAAAACATTAAGTTCACCTGACGCCGCTCGCGTTCCTTCTCCGCCAGTTTGCGATCGCGCTCCTCGCGTTTTCGTGCTAATTTCGAATCGGCGACGGGTTTGAAGATCAAATCTGTGCGCGTGCACGAGTTATAATCGCCACGATCGATGTGTCGCACAAAACTGTGAAAGAGTTGCAAAACCAAGATAGGAACTTAGAATAAGTAATGATGACAAAAACAGATTTCATTCTTCTTATAAAAAGCACGAAGGAAGACTCCCATTAATTTTTTTTCTTCAAATTCGTTAATGTTAACAATATACTATTTAATTTGGGTCTCTTCCTGATTACTTACATGGCAGATTGCGAGCGATGGCATTCTGTATCGTCCGGCTTGGCCTCAGGACTGGGGCCGCGCGGTATGTTATGTGTGGGACTGGGAATTTCCGGCTCAGGATCGGGCTCAATATCGATAGGCACTACAGAACAATTAGAATACCAAATTGTAATTTAAGTTTTCTATTGATCAACAACAATAAACTCACGAGGCTCCGTTGGATGATGTGGACCGCCCAGCCCAGCAGAATTAGCCGAGTGCGCATGGGCCCGCAATGCATCCATGTGAGATGTTGGCTTGAGACCGTGTTGTTGCCCATCTTGTGGTGCAAACGGCGAGGCATGTGGTGGTGGCGGATAGCCGGGTATGTGAGAACCAGGGTACGCACCAGGTGGTAGACCCGTCGGTGTCGTCTGTGCGTTCACACCACCTGGGCCTTGTGGCGTCTTTGGTGTGGGTGGCTTGTTCTGTGGGGGTCCTCCCTGTTGCTGTGGAGCCTTCAATTGTTGTGCTGCAGCCGCCGCCGCGGCCGCCGCAGCATGCTGCTTCTCAGCGGCCGCTTGTGCTGCAGCGGCTTCCTCTTGTCGGGCCTGAGGTGGGGGTCCTTGCAGGCCCGCGTGATGTGCAGCCATGACTGCAGCTGGATCGAGAGGTCCGGATGGAGGCGGTGGCTTCATGTATGCAGGGAAACCAGGTCCATAGGGAGCATAGCCATACGGCGAATTGAATGGGTTATGGTGATGTGAATAGAAGACCGAGGGATGTAACAGCGGATGCGGGTACGGCGACTGCCCGGGATGCACTCCAATCTGAGGGATGCCACCACCAGGTGCTATTAGCGGTAGTGGCAAAGGCATCTGTGGATGGCGTATAACCGGCGGGGAGGCACCCGGACGTAGATGCGGGGGTGGTGAAGTTCCTAGACCACGCTGTCCCGGTTGCGGAGCGTACATCTTGCTCAGCGGGCTAGCCATGAGGCCAGATGCATTCGAAACAGGCGGCGGAGTCATATGTGGTGATTGTTGGCGCAGCAGGGCGTGGCGATCACGTTCGGCGACGGCGGCCGCGGCTGCCGATAATGCCGATGACGAGGGGTGATGGCTAAGCGGTGACTGAGGCACAGGATGTAAAGGACTCTGCCGGCTCAGGCTGCCAACACTCGATGCAGGCGATGCAGAACGATGTGCAGCTCCAGAGTTGTTTAGTGCGCCTGGTGTGCCACTGTTGCTGTTTCCAGATGGAGGCTGCGCACCGCCAAGACCGGCAGCACTCGAGATTTGTACACTGGGACTAGCGCGACTGAAGGCGGAGGATGGCACCGTGGTCGTGGTCAGTGATGCACTTGTAGGTGCCATAGAGGCCGCCACAGAATGTGGCGTCGTTGGCGCTGAGGAGGCGTGCGAGTGTGGCAGATGACTTGGCGGCGTTCGGCGACTGAGCGCCGACTCTGGCAGACCGCCCAAGCCTGCAGGCCCTGCAAGCAGAGCAATGGGTCCAGCGCCTGGACCTAGGCCAGCAATGGAGTGTGATAGCAGATGATGACCCGGATGCGCGAGCGCTGCATGCGCAGGATGGCCAGGAGGCAAATGGGCCAGATGTGGGTGTATGGGCATCGGATGCCCGATTAGACCAGGTGGCGCATTGCCTGCTAGTCCAGGAAGCGGTGAAGTGCGATGAGCATGTGGGGATTGCTGCGGCATTGGTCCGGCCCCGCTCGTTGGCACCGCTGATGGCTGCGACGTGGGCGGTAGCGGATCTCGTGCATTAGGTGGCGGAGGACCGCTCCGATCGTCGTGTAAGCTGCGTGGTGGCATCTGCTGCTGTTGTGCCGGAGAAGGTGTGCGTACGGTACCAGCGGGCGGTTGCTGTGGTGGCAGTGAGTGGGAGGGTGCTGGATGCCCACCACGCGGGTCATGTGCCTGCAGCGACATTGGTATTGGGGCATGTGGATGCATTGAGGGAGGCATATCGGGATGCGGTCGGTGCAGCGATTGTAGGTGTGGATGCATATGCGGATGCATATGTGATGGTGCCATTGTGGACAGTGTGGGAGGTGCGCCACTGCCAAGTGACGTGGGTGCCAGCGAAGATGACACTGATATTTGTGAATGTGGTCCTCCAGGAAGACCGCCATGTTGAAGGCTCGGAGGCGCAGGAGCGGACTGATGCAGAGATGTGGGTGGCAGCTGCGACTGTGGACCACCAGCTGAACTAGGCGGTAGGCCTGGGGTGTGTCCTGGTGGTGGACCATGTGAAGATATGAGATTTTGCGGGTGCATACCCGGCGGCAATCCACCACCCGCTGGAGAAGGCATGTGTGGAGATGGATGTGGCGACTGGAACTGCTGTTGTTGCGGTGGTAGCGAGGGCTGTGAATTGCTGTTGCTACCCTGACTGTCCTGCCCGGGCGTCGACCGCGACGAGGCGTCGATAGGGCTCTCAGAAGGCGGATACTTTAGTGCGCCACTGTCTGCCCCTGGCGGTGGACCATAGAGAGATCCCTTGATTAGATTCTCTCCGTATGGTTTCACATCGCCGGCTGCAGAAACAGGCGGCATGGGATACTTGAGATCCTGGGGCTGAGGTAGGCCATACTTGCTGGCCAGGGGATCGCCGTACTTGAGCATGAGTCCTGGCTCAAAGGGACGCCCCAGTGGTGGAGTTTGCACGTCGTGCTGGTAGTGCGGCTTAGGCATAGCAATTCCGGGCGGTGGTGTGGCACCCGGAGGTGTATTGTGCGATTGCTGTGGATCCTGCTGCGACGTGGGCGGTCCGTACTTGTGCACCCCTGGACCAGGGCCATCTAGAGACGTCGCATTGTACTTGCCTGAGCCTTCGACATTATGCGGCAGATGTCCAAAACTTGGCTTCACATCTGGTATTTTAATGGAGTCCTGATAGCCGGGCTTTGGTGGCGCCTGGTGAGCAGACAACTCTATCGGATATTTGCCCTGCTGTTCCATCATGTACTTCATGTCGTACTTGCCCACAGCGGCGGCTGCCGCAGCGGCTGCTTGTATTTCCTGGCTGTATTTGAGCGCATCGAGAGTTGGTGGCGGTGGCGGCGGATATTTTAGATCTTGCGGCGCAAATTTACCTCCCTCAAATTTGACAGCACCTTCATTGTACTTTATATCCATATCACCAGGATACTTCTGCGGCACTGCTGGCGCTGCACTTCCACCACCTCCGGCCGCATCGCTGTGCAGTTGTGGCGGAGGTGGCTGACCCGGTGCGCTGTATTTCAGTTGCCCGTCGATTATGTAGCCGGCAGGCGGTTGTGGTGCGCCTGTCCCTTGGGGTCCATGCGCTAGATGCTGCAGATGGAGTGGCTCCGTACTTCCAACATCGGCCCCGCCATGATGTAAAGCCGACAGCTGGCCAGCCATTGAGGTTGGGGCCCCCGAAGGAGGCAGTCCACCCACTGCTGGCTTTAGATCTTCGTTTTTGATTTCGATCTTCACTTTAAGATCTTGGGGCTCATTGCTGTTTTGATTGCATGTGGCATCCATTGAATCATCCATGGGCTCCTTTTTGATATAGACCGCATCTGCTGTTGACGGAGCACCCACTGGCGGTTGTGTCGTCACTCCTGTTGCCGTTGAGAGTTGTTGTGGAGATGTCTCCTGCTTGATATTTGCCAACTTCTTTAGTAGCTCAGGATCACGTGACGCAGATGTGTCGTTTTCGCACGTCTCCATCTTCTCGATGGCTTCTTTGCGATCAACGGAGGCATTCAGGGCCTCAACTGTGGCAATAGTGGGCACCTTCATGGTAATGGGCGCATTGGTCACAGCTGCCAAATTGCTGGCAGGCACATCCGACGAGCTGGACTCTTTAATAATGCCATCGACAAGTATCGGTTTTAAATTAACGCTGGTGGGAGCCTGTATGTTCGTCTCCTCATCCATGTTTTTGATGGTGTCCTTGCTATCTTCCGTGGACACTTCTGTTTTGATTGATTTTTCGGTGGCCTCAGATTTGGTTTCAATGTCGGTGACAGCGCTCTCTTCTTTGCAGTTGATTTCCTTGCTATCCTTCGATTGCTGCTCGGCAGTTGTTGTATCCGTCGTATTTGACTCGCCATCGTCCATAACGGAATCGGGCCGACTGTCTGAGTTCATGCTCTCGACGGGACTGTCAGGCCGCTTGCGCTTGTCCTTGTTGTCTTCACTGTTTGCATCGTTTGACGCGCCAGTGCCATCAACGTCAGAGCGCTTCTTTTTATTCGGCGTATCCTGTTTACCGCCCTTGCGCTTGTTGACCGAGCTCTCCGCAACTGATTTTGTGGGCGTCTTAGGGCTATCGGCAGCACCACCCGAAGCGTCTGGCGTCTCGGAACCCCGTTTCGGCCGTTTTCCGTTGGCCACCGTGTTGGTAGTCCCGCTCGCCGTGGCAGACGGTTGGTCCTTGGACGCGCTGTTCGCAGCATTACCAGTTGCACCACCACCTGCAGCACCACCAGCAGCACTGGTGCTGTTGTTGTTATTTTGTTGTTTATTTCTCGTCCTCATCCTAGATGGTGATTCATCCCTTTTGTTCGTCAGACTCGAATCACTGTCGCACTCGCTTGCGTCGTCCTCGGTTAGAGAACTGTTCTCCTCCTTGGAGACAGCGGGCGATGAGCGACTCGCCGTCTCTGCCGCCGCCGCCGTCGCCGTCGTCGCAGTTTGTGGTTCCGGGGTGTCCTCCTTCTTGGGAGGTGTATTATTAGCGCGTGTAACACGGTTACGACGCAAGGCGCTCTGTCTGCGTCGCCGGTGCGGTCGATTATTATTGGCGCCTGGGGTCTTCTTCCACAAATAGTAGAACTCGACCAATTCAGGGGTGTCTTTGTGCGGTAAAAGATCCTTATGGATCCTGAAGAAATTCTTTCCAAATTGCCGTAGACCCTTGATGAACTTTTTTGTTTCGTCTTCGGTCCACTTCTTGTCAATGCCTTTAGAAACAGGGCACTTTACGAGTGCTTGTAGGGCTTTACCTGGATCGTAGCCAGAATCGTGTAACTGCAATAAAAACATAGAGAAGAACGAAGATCTTTAGAATAAAAACTTATATGGAATGAAAATGTTGAGATATGTAGATGGTAATATGTAAAGCCTCTAAGACATTTTTCTTGCCAAGACTGTGTTGACGTACACCTCCCTTACGAATAAAATAATCCTAAAATCCACAAAGATCGAATTTAATCTATGGATTACGTTAATCTTGCCGCATTACAAATTGTTATTCACTGTGGTGGTCCCTCGAATATCTTGGCAACAGAAATGTCTACCCTATATGCATCAACAACCTAAGTGTGGGCCATGTTTGCCACTTACCACGTCGAGAGCGTTAATTGTAGTATCGTCGCGACTGGCAGCTAAACAACCGTCTTCTAGTCCGCCATCACACATTCCTTGAAATGCAGCCATTGAACGCGCCGCACGCAAGAACATTAATAAATCGCCATCGGCCACAACGCCAGGACTCCATCTTGATTCTTCTAGTTCACGTTCATCGGTTTCCTTGTCAACGGGGAAGCTTGAGATTGGATTATAATCGGGCAGTTTTGCCTTCAGTCATAAGACGAAAGAAGTTGCGGTATTAGTTTTAAATGATAAAACGCGCGGGGTTGTGGGTTAGTCACACAAGACGCCGACGACGACGACGAGGACAACAATATCAAGCCATACAACTGGGTTTAAGCACTACATACATATAGTAAATACATACATATGTACACAATCGTCGCGACCAGTCACACGATACACAACTTAAGACTAATGCATGAAATGTATGAACAATGTGTTTTGATGAGTGTGTATTTAGGTTGCGGAGTGGGTGGAAGAGGAATTTGTTTGACAGAGGAGTCATTGAGATAGGTTAGGCATGAGGCTTTAAGCACCTGTTTGGTGGCATGTTTGGTCATGTAAACAAATTGACCTTTTGCCACAAGTCGGCGCAAAAAGCCCATTGGGTTTTTTACGGGGTTGTAGGATTAAGGCTTCTACTAATTAAACACCAATTAACATTAGCCAATTGAATGCATAGGATTTGTTTTGTAAGTAAGTATAGTAACATTATCGCATACAAGACGTGAAAAATTAAATAAGTTCACAAGGTTAGTTAAAAGGCTGAATTCGGTAAACCGATCATTTTCTATAGACTTTTCAGATGTGATTCAAAGGTAGCGAAAAAATACCTGACCTGAAGTCAGTGAAGGAATATAACAAGGGTAGCATTTACTTTGGCCTAATCAGCAATGGACCACGCAACTCCAGACTAAAGACATTTTAGTTTAACGCTCGTAGTGCTATATTTTGACCCACCCTTTATCTGATAAACAATGTTAAGTACCAGTTGTCCCATCGTATCCTCGACAGAACGTGAATTCAGACAGTACGGACAATGGCTACATTGAATTAACAATCTTTGAAAACTAATCTACGGTTATGAAATTGTTTTTAATGTTGCAGAGAAACACGTTGACATTAGATTTATCTTTTATAAGATTAAGGGAATTAAATTTTTGAAAAGTCTACATTTAAGCAACCAAGCATTTCGAAAATTCTAGATTTTTATTTTAGCAAGTCAAAAACAAAAAATGTTCAGAAATTTTAAACATACATACAAAAAATCATTTTTGTTGTTGCATTTTTTTTTGTTACCGTGAGCTGATTTTCTGATTTGTGAGAGTTATGTACGTACATAGACATCGTTTACCTGGTGGCCGGGACCCACTCGTATTTCTCCTTGAGTGGAGGCCGCCATCACCCTTTAAAAACACGCTTCCGGTCCAGTGTTAAGCCTTTTTATGCCCACTATGATATGAAATTTCAACTGCAAAAATAAGAGAATACCAAATAGAGATGAAAACGAGACTGGAGGTGAAAGGATGAATATTATATTTAACACACATAATACATATATATTTATGCATACATATGTAGTAGTCGCCATTGCTGTCGCATGCCAAATTGAAAAGCGTAAACGAGTGGCGAATAAAAAAACATTTCAATAAAGTGATGAAGTTGATATCAACATGCATAAATAAATAATCCATAAAAATAATGCCATGTAATGTGTGTGCGCCTGATAGACGAGCGAAGTGTGCGCAGCATGAGGTGGCCACTGAAATTAGGGGCTGTCTGACTCGCTCAATGAAGGCAGAGAAGCAGCCTGGCCTGGCCCGGCCTGCCACTTAATCGCTTGCATATGTTAATGCCTCAGCCAGAGAGTTGCTGCTTCGGGCTTATTTTGCGCATACAGAGGCTGTCGGGCCGGGCCGGGCCGGGCTGGGAACCATGCAACATACTTTGTATTTTTCTTTCCCCCTCTACCACAATAGTCGGCACGAATGAGTGAGTGTGTGCGTGTGTGGGTCTGTTGTATGTATCTCAAGTGTGCGTGCAGCTGTAAACAGATTTTCCGCTCAAGTTACTTTTCGAATAACTGTAACGAAGCGGCACATCGTTATTTGTTTGGAGGCCAACGGCCAAGTAGACAGCGCCAGGGATAGAGAGGCAGATGAAAAACCAGACTCATTGCATCAGTATTTTTGTAAAATTATTATTGAATTTGTTTATGAATCAATATACACACAAAACACACACACACACACACAATCATTCTCATAAATGCCATCGGTGCTGTTTCTGTGGTTGTGTATGTGAGAACGGCACACAAATTATGGCAATTAAAATCAATTAATTAAATGCAGCAGCGGCAGCAAATAAAAAGCGACGCACATTGGGGCCAGAGGCGTGTGCGCTCACAACAACAACGAAATTATATACATATATATATATTGTCGACAGATTTACACTCAATAAGGCACGACACGCCGACTAAATAACTGACGACGACGACGACTAAGGACAGAGCGGAGTGGCAGCGGAGCGAAGGAGCATTGATAGCTGACGATGTGCAGGCAACGAACGCAGCGCCACACGCACGAGCAGTACCGACTACGGCTATGGCGCTGGTGTTGCGACGGCGTTGGAGCCCAACACTTATCAACGGCATCAACATCCATTCTGCTCACGCACAGTGACTCAGCTTGGCATTTCTTGCAGCAAATTGCAGTGCCTTTAAATCACGGACGGTGTCATTTTCGGAGAATGTACATTGTACATACATGAGAGGTATTTAATTATCAAATATTAATGATTTATGAATATGTACTTGTATACCAAAATTTCCTATCAATTCAATAAGTATTTTAAAAATGATCAGAGCATAAAATGTCTACGAAACGTTTTTCTTTTATCAAAGCCAAAATAAGTTTATACAAGTAAGTGTTCAACGAGTATAATAATCTTTCAAGACCTTTAAAGGAAATATAAGCTGTCCTGCAAAAGTTAATGTCGTGAAAATATTTAATTTTATTTTTGTTTTTTTTTTTTCGGTGTTTACAAGAGTTTAGTTTTTCATAAATAATGAATAAATGGTATCAATGCGCTTGACCTAACATTTCCCATCAATTTGAATGGTTTTGTTGCTGTCCTTATTTAGTTTCGCATGTTCTGCACTTCATTTATATTAAAAACAAATTTCCATTAAAAGTTTGTTAACAAGGAAAACAAAATGGTAAAAGGTAATGAAATAATGTGGGCATTATAAACCATAAACATATAAGAAGATGTGGTATATTAAATACTGATAACCCTAGAATTTATTTATGCATTTCTATCTTTTTCCCCTCGTTTTGTTGTATCCCACCCACTAATCAATTTCACCACTGTGCGCTGTTAGCTGGTAAAGTTAGCTGCCTCCTGGTTTGCTGACTGACTAGCAGCGGCAACTTTTTATGGGGGAGTTTTCGGTATCGACATCGTTGCCGCTGTTGGTTTGTTGTTGGCGGGTGTTGCGAGTGGAAAAATTTCAGGCCAACATAAGGCAGCGAGTTGGCTGACAAAGCGCAGGGCGCAAAGGCACGCGACCAAGTGACTGTTACCCCGCGTCCCTGCCTCCGGCTCTGCCTGTACCCTTGACTGTTTGCCTGGCGCTTGGGGAAAATTGTGTAATAACTGCGAGCAATGTGCTAAGCTGTGTATGTGTTTGAGTGTGTGTGTGGGGGGCTGCTGTACGGCTGTTATAAAACAAATGTACTACAGAAAAAACTGCCGTTGTAACGCATATAAAGCTATAAAATCTAAAAAGACAAAATACGAAAAAAAAACCCCCGTCAGGCTCGAAAATTTTAACCACCACCAAAAAGTGGCATATGTATGTGTGGACATGGCGTGTGTATGTATTAATAGCCGTATCATAATGCTTCGCACTGAGGTTGCGGCGCATACACAACACACACAGTAAAAGACCACAAAATATGGCAGCAGCAACAGAGGCTGGCGGCAAAAGGGCAGGAAGGCCAGACCAGGCCGGGCCGGGCCACGCCAGAGCGGAGAGGGGAAGCTAGGGTGGTGTTGCTATATGGGGCGTTGGTTGTTGTTGGTTGCCAGTGCTCTGTACAGAGTACGTGACTGAATGAATGGCTGAGTGAGTGAGTGACTGACTGACTGACAGACTGGCGGACTCAATCTCGTCCAGCTGAATGAAATGGTCCGACTGCCTGCCTCAGCATTGCGGTTGCCAGCGTGTAAATTTAAGGCCAATAATGCTGTCAATTTCAAATGGCGCGTCGATTAATGTCAACGCTTTTTATATACATATATACTATAAGTACTACAAATTTGTGTATATGTACATTAAAATGTATCACACAAATTGTGTAGAGCTGTTTGTGTCCCAAGATTGCTTACTAAATAGCAATAAAAACCAAATGAGCGAAATGTAAATGAGTAAATGAAAACAAAACTCATGAACCGACACAAACTGCCTCGACCGACAAAGACGAGTGGCGGCGTGGCGGGCGGGGGCGGGATGGGAGGTTGGTGAAGGAAATTCAATAAACAATTTGCAGCATGAGTAGCGGAAAATTGTGTGTACGCACGCGGCTAAATGGACGATGCCAAACGAAGCCAGCGGTGCCGACGACGAGTGTTTATGGAGAAGAGCGTGTGAGCACTTCGCTTGCATTTGTGTGCGTGCGTATGTGTGTATAATTTTGAAATGGAAAAGCTGTTCGGTTGGCATGTTTGTTGTGTTTTGTGTTTAGCTTGTTTTTCTCTCTCTTTGTAATCATCGCTTGCCAATAAGCTGACTAATTGACTGACAAATAGCCTGAAACAACAACAACAACAATACCAAACAGCAGCAGCAGCAGCAGCAACAACAACAACAACAATGACAGCAAGAGTCAAGCAGGGAACTAAAAATGTTTCGGTTGCTGCTGCTGCGGCTGCTGTTGATGAATGCGCCACAACTGTACATTAGGGTGGTGGTTATGAATTTCGAGTGTATCTATAAGTACTGCCTTTGACTGCCTACCCGCCTCCGTCCCTGCCAACAAGCCTGCACTCGCCGCAGGGCATTGAGGTCAGGCTGTCGTGAAACTTTAGTGCGCTCCGCAGTCGTAAAATCTTTTAACCCAAACAGAAACAACCGCCACTTACATTCTCATAGCTGTAGAGCAGCCGCATAATAAACTGGCATTACAGTCACAACATTCCTTAAGTATCTTAGTAGGTATGCGCCTGCATGCTAAAGTCAGCTAATTCATCATTAAATTTAATGGTTTGATTTTTTTTTTTAATGTACAGTACAATCTCGTCAAAATAACGTACAGCCTAACAGATATTCCTTCAAATAGGAATATAGCTACGTTAGTAGGTAAACATCCATAATATGACCAAAAATATCTACAAATTTTTAGCAATATTTATTAATATATTTTAGTAATATTGAACTGTTGTTCAAACGGGGAGTTAAATAAAAAATACTCTCTTTAAAATGTTAAATGTTTTTTATTGCCAGATACTTTTCATCGTTCAACTGTTCTAATTTTCCATTATACTTTTCTCGTTGTAGAAATTAATTAGCCTGCTTTAAAATTCGGATGCAAAACAATAGAACATTTATAAAATGTTTTGTCAATAATAAACTAAAGGAATACCGAAAGCATGTACGTATGTATAAATTTATTTTATTTTGTTTAGATTTAAGATTTTTTTCTAAGAATGTCATATATGACAAAAAACATACATAAATTGGTTTTATAAATAACTGATTTATTTTAAACTTAATAAAAATCTACGGATACAAATAAATGATAAATTCGAATTTGGTTTATAGATATTTATATTTAAAGAATTCAATTTGAAGACTATCTTTAAAATATATGAAGAAAGTTTCCTTTATGCTATTTGGAATATATATTTATTGCTATGTGTTTTTCGTTAGCAATCAATGAGTTGATTTTTTCTTGAGATTGCATTCCAAGTTTATCTACAAATCATTTCCTAAGCCAAATTAGCCGTGAATGTATGCATTACAGGGTTAATTATGGTCATGAAATAAAATTCCAGCATATGGTTAGTTGAGTGTGCGTGTCAAGTGCGGAAATCCTATTAAATGTTAGTAGGCAGCACTCGAGGCTTGTCCAACCCTAATAATCAGCTCGACTAGCACTTGGCGGAGTGAATTTATTTGTATGCTTGGGGTTTCTGTGGCCCTGTGTATGTTTAAGCATGTTGAAAGCCAAATTTTCACAACAAATCAAAACACAGCGTCTATTCACGAAAAGTCCAAAAGAGGCAAACAAACAAACTCAAATGACAGACAGACAAACAGAGAAGACCGAAGACATGGGCACTCAACTTGACGTGCGTTTAACCCAAAACAAATTTCTCTTTTTGACTATGCTTTTCTTTCGATGCTTAAAAAAATTATATAAGTTCATACATACTCGTACGTAAGCATGTTCTTTTTTTCTGTTT